TTGAATAAGAAAAAGACTATGGAATTACTTAAACTACCGGAAACGTATTACCCTAAAAGGATAAAAAAAAGTGTTTAAAATTAGGGTGAATAAATCTTGCCATTATACAGATCAGCTTTTGTGTGTGTGTGTGTGTAATTTTATTTTGACTACAGGTTCGATTTTTTGGACTGGATATGCGAACCAGTTGACAGATTAACGAAATCCGTGGAGTGATTAACAGTCCAATGCACCCATCCCTGCCTCAGAATGAATATGTCCACCATTCATCAAGGTTAAAAGTTATTTCTTATGCCACATGCTTCTTAATCAGCACCATCAGAATCTCCGCTCATCTGTTGTTTGCCAAAAACATGTTTACATTGAAGGCAATAATCTTTCTGAGATGCAGGCAATTTCTTTAACTGATTGAAAACCATTCCATCTATCCATTATTAAAAAATTCAGAAAAAAAAAAAAAAAAAAAAAAAAAAAAAAAAAAAAAAAAAAAAAAAAAGAAAAAAAAAAAAAAAAAAAAAAAAAAAAAAAAAAAAAAAAAAACAAAAACAAAGTTTGGAAACAGACAAAATAAAAAAAATAGTAAAAAAAAAACATGCAAGCTGGTATGACGCTACCAACATGAAAAATACAAACATCAAATTAAGCAAACACATCAAACTAACAATCAGTATGACGCTACACATGCAAAATTACAAACAGCAATATAAGGAAACAAAAACAACTTAAGAGCAGTGCTTGCTACCTCCAGACATGCAAATCCATGCTTGTTGGCAGGGTTGCTGGGTTCTTTCCAGAATTGCTTCCCTTCTCTTTGCTATGAATAACTTACATTTGTTTCGGTGATTTTTTTTGTATTCTATAGGAGGTAAAATCTTAGTACTTTACAGACTTCACATGATTTTGAAATTTGTTGCCAAAACCAAAATGACAATATGACAAGTCATCATAATGTCGTCAAATCCTGTCCGTAAATTATACTAGGATTAAACTCTATACAACTTTACGCGCACTTCATATGAGATTTCGGTTGTATGTGACTAAGCACATGCTCACTTAAAAACTGCTATTTCTTTAAATGACTTGTTACACATCTATCTTGTATGGACAAAGACATGTTTGTTTAAGGCACATTTTAGTCTAAATGACTTGCTGCATACGTCACACGCATAAGGTTTCTCTCCTGTGTGAATAAGCCTATGATTCCTTAAATGACACTTTTCTCTAAATGACCTGTTGCACAGTTCGCACACATGGTGTTTCTCACCTGTATGAATACGCATATGAATCTTTAAACCATGCTTTGCTCTAAATGACTTGCTGCATACCTCACATATATAAGCTTTCTCTTCTGCATGAATTTGCATATGATTGTGTAAGTGATCCTTTCTTCTAAATAACTTACTACATAACTCACACAAGTGAGATTTCACTCCTCTGTGAATATCCATATGACTGTTTAAGTGACCTTTAAATCTGAATGAAATGTTACATAGCTTACATAAGTAAAGCTTTTCTTGTGTGTGAATAAATAGGTGGTACTTTAAATACGACTTTAGATTGAATTTCTTGTTACACACTTTACACACATGAGGTTTCTCACCTGTATGAATAAGCATATGTGACTTTAAATTATTCTTGATTTTATATGACTTGTTGCATACCTCACACACATGAGGTTTCTCTTTCACTTCTGTATGAATATCCCTGTGCCTGTCTAAATCACCTTTTAGTGTGAATGATTTATTACATACCTCACATACATGAGGTTTCTCGCCTGTGTGAATACGCATGTGCTCCTTTAAAGCATAGCTGAGTCTAAATGATTTGTTACATATCTCACACCAATGACGTTTCTCTCCTGTGTGAATAAGCATATGCTTGTTTAAGTCACTTTTTCTTCTAAATGACATATTACATACCTCACACATATGAGGTTTGCATTCTGTGTGAATAAATATATGCCTCTTTAAATTACTCATATGCACAAATGATCTGTTACATACCTCACACACATGAGCTTTCTCTCCTGTATGAATAAGCATATGCTTTTTTAAAGTGCCTTTTAGTCTGAATGAACTGCTACATACCTCACACATATGAGGTTTCTCTCCTGTGTGAATAAGCATATGCTTTTTTAAAGTGCCTTTTAGTCTGAATGAACTGCTACATACCTCACACACATGAGCTTTCTCTCCTGTATGAATAAGCATATGCATTTTTAAAGTGTCTTTTAGTCTGAATGAACTGCTACATACCTCACACACATGAGGTTTCTCTCCTGTGTGAATAAGCATATGCTTTTTTAAAGTGCCTTTTAGTCTGAATGAACTGCTACATACCTCACACATATGAGGTTTGCATCCTGTGTGAATAAATATATGCCTCTTTAAATTACTCATATCCGCAAATGATCCGTTACATACCTCACACACATGAGGTTTCTCTTCTGCGTGAACACGCATATGCTTGCTTAAATAATATTTTTGTGTAAATGACTTGCTACATACATTACATATATGAGGTTTCTCTTCTGTGTGAATAACCATATGCTTGCTTAAATAGCATTTATGTGTAAATGACTTGTTACATACGTTACATATATGAGGTTTCTCTACTTGTGTGATTAAGCATATGCATGTTTAAATTGTTTTAGTCTAAAGGATTTTTCAGAAACAGCAGACACAGGTTTCTCTATTGTGTGGTTTTTAATCACACTTTTAAAATGTTTCTTTTTCTAAATAACTTGTTACATACTTTCTAGACACACAGGTTAGTCCCCTATGTAGTTAAGTACCTGATATCACAACTTCCTGATGGCCTTGATATCACAACTTCGTGTATATCCTCACAACTTACGGTCCGTGCCTTTGTATACATGAAAAAATGGTTTGGTAAACTAAATTTTTACCAAAGTAGTTCTTGGATGCTTCACACTGGCTTCCGTGTCTTCGCAAATATACACCTGATTATTTGCATAAAAATATTAATGAATACTGTAGGTGACGCTTACCTTTTTCGTGATATAAAACACTGCCATGGTTTCCAGGACCATTTCATACAAAGTACTATTACATATCGAACAAATATGATTCTTTTTGTCCGAGTGTAAACTTGAATTCATGCAACAATTATCATAAGTTCTGACTTTCTGGAGCCCTTTCACACTTAAGTATTTCAAATTAGTACAGTTGAATGGCTCAACAGAGTTCACATTAAATATTCGCTAGACAGAATGAAAAGTCAATATTAATATGCTCCCTCTTTCATTGTTTTGAAATGCTGTTGGTGTTAGTACCATTCAAATGTACCGCAAGAGTGCAGGAAATTACAAGCATCTAGCCCCTCAGACGCTAGTTTCCTCTCCTTGTTCCTCCCGGTTCCTCCCTGAACATCTGCGCAGATTACTGCGCAAGTCGTCATTTTCCTGAAGGCGCGTCGTATTTACTGTTATTTACTCTTACTCTTGCGCTGCTGTGGTAAAGTGTGATTGATGATACAGTTCTCTTTTTTTTTTTTTTTTTTTATTTTTTTGCTTCGATTATTATATCTTCTGCATAAAATCAAGAAAAACTGCCCATTTCATGGCCAAGTACTTCTGTTTTTCCAGAAGGTATTTTTGATTCTGAATCGAATCAAAATCAGGAAGGTGTAATCCTGTGTGATAATTCTGATTGTGTTGTGAGTGATATGGTTCATTGTGCAAATGATTTTAGTATAGCTGAGAGTGATTTTGTTTGCCGTGATTGTTTAAAACTTTCAACTATAGATACAATTTGAAACGCCATGCATATAAATTTCATTACAATAATACTACATTAATTGAGTCTCTGAAAACTAAGTTCTAATAGTATGGTTGATTGTGCAAATAATTTTAGTGTGGCTGAGAGTAATTTTGTATGTTCTGATTGCTTAAAAACGTACCATAATAAATGCAGTTTGAAACGCCATACCAACACATTACACTCTAATAATACTACATTAATGATTCTTTAAAAAGTGGTCAATCACCAAGCTACAAATGTGAGGACTGCCATCTGAAATTTAGTGACCTAAAAAATTGGAAATATCATCAAAATAAAATTCATACTTCTAACAGGTAATTATGTGTGTCCTAAAAGCGAGAAATAATATTTCATTTCAATAATGTTCATGATGTTGATTTGAATCATACTGAACTAGAATTTAATTCATTTAATGATTTTTTGGCATGGAAGGCAGAAATTGAAAATAATACGAAGTCAAAATTTCTTATGGAGTAAGCATATTTAATATACATGGTGTAATGCCACTGTTCAGGAAATTTTATATCAGAAAGTAAAGGTTTGTGTCACTTAAAAATCCTTGGTAGCAATAAAATAAATACATATTGTGCAGCTGCATTAAAAGTAACAGAACATACAGATGGCAAATGTGTAGTGTCATATCAGAAAATACATACTGGGCATCGGAATGATTTAGGTCACTTATTTTTAACAACAGATGAAATAAAAAATATTGCATCAAAGATAGCAGCAAAAATTTCTCTGGATAATATTTTAGATGAAATTAGAAATTCTCTATGAGATGCCCGGCTTGAGAGGTTTCCTTTTCTTACAAAACAAGATTTACATAACATCAAAAAATCTTTCAATTTGTCTTCTAATTCTGTTAAACATGAAAATGATTGGGTTTGTGTAGATACACGGGTACCTGAAATGCAAAATTCTGAACATCAATGCATTTCATTTTATAAAACCCAGGGATCAACATAGCATGAATGAATATTGTACACAATATTAATTTCTAAAAGGAAATGATTTGTTTTTTTTTTTGATAATGATGACAGAAGCACAAAGAGAGATAGTGAAAAAATTTAGTTCTGACTTGTATATGTATTGATGGTACACATGGGGTTAATGCATACAGATTTGAACTCATAACTTTACTTACAATAAATGATTTGCACCAAGGATTCCTGTGTGCATTTTTAATTTCTAATCGATGTGACCAACCTGTGCTATCAATTTTTTTTTCATGCATTAAAGAAAAGTTGGGCAAATACAACCACAAATATTTATGTCTGATATGGCTGAATCTTTTTTTAATGCTTGGAAGTCTGAAATGGGTTTACTACAGAAACATCTTTTTTGTGCATGGCATATTGATAGAACCTGGAGAAACAATTTTAAAAAAAAAATCAATGGTGTTGAAAAACAGGCAAAAACATATAAAATTATTACTGTATTTGATGGCATATAAGACGCACCCTTATTTACACGGCCACACACAAGGAAAAAAAGTTTCAATAGCGTGGTTTCTTTTAGTTCTCACGTTTCATAAAAGCCAAATAAACAATTATTGAATGCAATTACCTTCACGTATAAGACGCAGGTAACTTTTTAGAGACCAAATTTAGGAAAAAAAGTGCGTTTTATATGCCGTCAAATACGGTAGGTCTCACTTAGAAGAACAAGACATTCATACTTTTCATACACTGAAAGAAGCAGCAATAAAATTACTTGAAGAAGATCCGGACATTATTGAATTTGCAAATTACTTTGAAACATATTATTTACAAAATAGATCTAGCTGGGCATACTGTTATAGACTTCACAGTGGTGTTAACACAAACATGCACATCGAACGAATGCACCGAACATTAAAATATATTTACCTTCATGGAAAAAATGTTAAGAGATTGGATAACACTATACATGGTATTATGAGATTTGTAAGAGATAAAATGATTAATCGCTTAATTACAGCAAATAAAGGTAAATTAACAAGTAAGATTTGGAATTTAAGAATCAAACATAAAACAAATGAAACACTGTTTATATGTAGTTGAAAATGGGTGGTCTGTTTCATCAACACATAATACAGAAATATACACTATACATGAAAGTAACAAAACTTGTACATGTCACATACAGTGCACTGATATGCATTCATTGATATATATGCAGCTGTACTGATTCATCAGTTTGTAGAGACATTAGGTATTTTTTTTGGAAGCAGGCAAGATGAAAAATATGCAATGCCTTTGCCAGGAATCAAACCACGGACCTCTGGATACACATCACACCATGAAGACATGCCGACAAGTTGGAAAGACATGAAGACAAGTTGGGAGAAATACTTTATATACTCCTCCTTTTAAAGGGCGACTGAGGTTTTTAGGGGACCTAATCGCCAAATCCTGGGTGTGGAGAACAATCATCTAACACCCTTTTAGTTCGGGCGCCACTGTACAGACATTAGAATTTTACATTGGAAGCAAGAGAGAATGAAAAATTAGCAATGCCTTCGCCGGGAATCGAACTGCGGACCTCTGAAATATGCACCCAGTGTGCAGATCACCACTCCAAGAAGGCGGGAGAAATACCTTATAAGTTATGTAGAGTATGTGCAAGCACACTAGAAATACTGCTACTTATACTACAACTACAATACATAATGAATTATCCACTTATTATAGATGATAAAAATGAATTTTGAATTAAGTAGCCAAAAAAAAAATCACAGACCCTCTCACTGGAACACAAAGAATGAACTAAATCAAACATGTTTAGAATAAGTAGATTCATTAAAATCTGACAAACAATGTGATGTGTTAGACAGGATTCTAAAATCAGCACCACTACAACTAGATAATATATGATATGTTAAATGCACAAGAAATACAGGTAAAAGTATATTTTAGGGTGCCCTCGGCGATTTTTGCTGGTACATGGATACCGATTTTGTGCAATTCTTTGACTCGTTAATTTTGGCTTGCGAAGCGGCGATTTTTGCCGAAAATAACAAGACAAACAATTGCAGAAACTCGGTATCCATGTACACATCGACTTATTTTCACTTAAAAAAAAAATCCCTGAATTGCATAAAAATGGCATTGCGCACTCCACTCCTTTGACTTTATCCATATACACGTCGACCTATTTTCACTTAAAAATAATTCCCCGAATTGCTCAAAAATGGCATTGCGCACTCTTTTAACTTTATCCATGTACACATCGACCTATTTTCACTTGATAAAAAATCCCAGAATTGCACAAACTTGCATTGCGCTCTCCCTTTACTTTGTCCATGTACACATCGATATATTTCACTTAAAAAGTCAAAGGAGTACCAAATTCTACAATATAGGCAAACAAAAAAGACATAATCTCAATAAAATACATTTTAAACCAAACAATAAAATAACATAAAAAAGGAAAAACATGATATACATTTAAGCACTGCCAAAAGCAAATATTCGCTTACCATGATTTTCGAATTCGCTTCGTACACCCAGAGCCACGTAAAAATCAAAATATCAATCATACTCAAATGACTTTTTTCAAACCAAGTACTCTTTCTGATCGAACGCTTCACATAGTGACCATCTGAACCTTTCTTCCTACAAACTCATTCACATCCATCTAAGCGGTGTTTACGTTCGACTAGACGCATATCCTTCCTACAGGGTGATCAGCGAATAAGCCCTGATTTCAAAATTAAATAACTCTACAACAAAAATCGATAGAATTATGCGGTAAACTGTACGTTTATTAGAAAAACTGTAAAAATGGTGTACAAAAGTTTATAAAATTTAGTTATGAAAATCGCTAACAGATGGCGCTGTAATCGCAATGACCTAACAATAGCCTTTAAAATGTGCTTCGAAGTCGAAAGTGATCAGTACAACTGTTGGCTAGTGAAAAGAGGCTAGCGTAGAAAGTGAAATAATGTATTTCATTGAACAATGTGTATTTTGGTTCTGGAATTTCGCCGATTACAA